CCGAGTCCAACGAACGAGCTACACTTAATTGTAAGTGGGTCAACCAGTTTAACCTGGCCCATTGGCTCGCATACCATAAAAGATATTATCAAGTAAAGTGAATTACACTATACTCCCTTGAACTTCTATTTGCATTTAAACCCCCCATGTACTTCAAATTCACACAAAACCCCTAATAACTTCTGTAAAATTCATTCGAACAATGCACAACATTTATTTGCTCTATTTTTATTTAAGGAGGAAGACGAAGAGATGAAGAAGATTGAACTCAATTACAAGTTCACGTATTTTCTCTATTTTTATTTGCTTAAAGTTTGTTATAATTTATTCCTATATGTTTAAAATAGTGGAACAATTAATTGTCACCTGTGGAGTAAGACTTGAGCCAAACCATGTAAAATCTCTGTGTTTGTGATGTTTTTCTCTGTCATTCTATACAAATATATAATTGTGCTTAATAAAATTATTTTTTATTTTTATAATGGTTGCATTGTTAGTTAATCACATATAGTTTTTAAGTGCTAAACAACGCTTAAAAACTATTTAAAAAACTAAAAAGCATTTACAAATTTCAAAAAAATAAAAAATAAAATATGACGGGTCAAGCAGGCTGGCACGTATATTGGCTCGCTTCTTTGTCCCACACGCGAAGCAGGGCTGACGGTCTAAACCGCGAACGAAGCGATAAAACATAGCACGCTTGTTACACACCACGCCATGTCTCGCTGCCAGACAAGCGATAAAACATAGCACGCTTGTTACACAGCACGATGTCTCCTGCAGGTCATGAGCTGTCTTGTCGCCACCACCCGAGCCCGAGCAGGCTGGTTCGATAGGACGGCGGCTCGTCCCGTTGCTCACCCCTAACTACCGTTGCCCACCCCTAACTATTATTATTAAAGCATCTCACAATCTCTACGAACAGCAGTAAAGGAGCAAGTATTTTAGCCTGTAACAAAAAATATGCAAAACAATACCTCACAAAAGTGATTAGACTTTAGTCTCGCAATGATTTCTGCAGTTTCTCTAGCTTCGTTTCCAACTTCTTTGAAAAAATAAAATAAATAAAATAAAAAAAAAAATACATAACAATACCTCACGCAAAGATTACACTTCAGTCTCACAATGATTTCTGCAATTTCGCAATCAGCCTTTCCAACTTTGAAAAACATAATCGCATACAATATTTTCAGCAAACTGCAAACCGAAATGACTAAAATAAACAAATAGTAATCATCAAATAAGCAGAATGAAAATTATGATAAATATACTGACTCTCAGGCCAGAAAACAAAACCTGATTACATAGGAGCAAAACGCATACATATAAGCACCTTACAGTAGTTCCTTCTGTGTTGAAATTTAGAAGTACAAACATATAACCCTTGACCCAGAAAAAAAAATGCAAGGACATTACAAATTTCCAAATTTTTATAAAAAGAAAAAAAGAGATAATTATAGGGCATCACGAGTAGCACCGGCCGGTCCTGCGATGATGAGGTGGACAAGGACCTGAATGAACTTCCCCGAGGAAAATCTATCGAGCCCAGTGTTGCTTTTGGAAAACACAGATCCAAAACAACCAACCTTTCAAAGATTGTCGATGACTTGCATAGGCTAGAGACTGGCTGACGCTTTGAATTGATCAGAAGGCCACAGATCAATGGCCTTTTCTTGAAGGTGAGAAGCAAACCTTCTTTAAGGTTAGTAGAGGCAGTGCACGGGCCAGCACAGACCCACTTCTCAACAGACTCCGGTGTGCTGACACAAAGTTAGCAATAACCCCATCTCACCGACCAACAGATGCTCAAAAAATGCAAAATCCCAACTTTTGACTCGACTCAGGACGACCCAAATGAATGCAAGACTCACTATATACCAGAGCATAAGAGAAGCATATCAGCCAGATATAGCCCGAGTCACTGCTAATCTAGCCCAATCAGCCGATTCCTTAATCAAATGATCATCTGATGACAAGCACTCTTCCAGGAACTCTTTGCATGAAACTGACTGCTGGATCAAAGTGCCGGCATTACTACCAAGAGTATCAGCCAGATCTCCAAGCACACCGATTGCAGTTTTTGTTACCACATCATCCCTGATAACAATAAGAACCATACATGTTAGGGACAAATAATAGAAGTAGAAGGGTTATTTGCACTTAAAAACCTTAACTTTGCCCGCAAAGCATATTTTTGCCCAAAAAACATCCTAATGTCCAAGCAATTCAAACTTTGAACGGAAAAATGACTTCACATGTGGTACCAAAAGTTAGAAGTAATCACTAGCTAAAAAAACTCCTGGGCATCAAAGTTAAAACTAGTGTACACTTTGGGGTATTTAACTGCAACTAACCCTAAGTAAAAAAACAAGAGGCTGAGTTTGACTTACATGTCCTTGACAGTATATAGGCTATCCAAGAACTGAAGGATGTGAGGTGCATAGGACATCAGGAGCTGGGTTTTTGCAGAGTTCTTGAAACCCTGGAATGTACCAGAGTATGCTTCCAGGATCCCATTCCGTAGTTGGTTGGTGTACTCAATCATATCAATATCATTTGCTGCCGCATTGGCAGACAGCTCTGCAGCACTCTGGAGCATTGGCATTGCATACGCCAAGTATTTCTCAAAGTTTTCTCCGATTGCTAAAGCAATGTCACCAAAGCATGAGAATATCGGTGGTTTCACTGATCGGTGCATCTGAGTACTAGATAAATCCTTCAGGAGCTGCGTCATAATCCCATCACAAAAAGGGAGGATCTTGTCCTCCAATGCCCTGCACAAGTCTCCTACAACTCCAACAGTTATAGCGCAGACTTGGTACTCTTCAAAATTTTGAAGACCCATTTCCAAGTAGGGATAGAATCCCTGCATGTATTTTACAAAGTTTGCTCCAGTAGCATAGGCAAGGGCCCCAATAGCAAGCATAGCCTCTTCATGCACTGTGGCATTTCTGCAAGCGAAGACCCTCAAGAACAGATCCATCATCTGATCTGCATATTGCAAGAAGACATGCTTGGTTGTTTCAGTTGATCCCAACTTTTGGATAATAACCTGCAAGCACCCACATAGAAGGCCCTGCACTTCACTTTGCTTCTCTCTCTCGTCAGATGACAACTTCTGAGCTTCAAGAGTCTTGTGGAGCTCCATCATTATAACAGGAACCAACTGCATTACCATGGGAGCAGTTTCTTCAGTTGAACACCTAACGACTTCATTCAATGTTTCATAGGCTGCCGTCCTAAGTCGTGATTCTCCAGCATCTTCTCTGTGAGTGACAGTAAGGAGAGCCTGGATAATGTCCTGGAAGAAAGGTGACAACGGAGAAGCTGAACCAACATCCTCGTAGCCCTGAGCAAGGAAATAAAGAGCACCACATGCCTTCTCAGCAACATTAGGGACATCTTTCATGCTCTGGAGCAGTACGGTTAGGATCTGCTGACAGTTCTCATTAGTTATCACGGTTGATTCCACTGTCGACCCATGAAGAAACTCAAATATTCTACCCAGTGTCCAGGCAGTGGTGTCCTTTACATGGTTATTTGGGTCCTTCATCAGGGCAGTGAGCATGAAATTAAGTGCCACATTGACAATTGGAGCTAGCTTGTCTGGTGATGGACCCTCCAATATAGAACCAAATGCATATGTTGCTGCCTCTCTCTGCCTCCAATCTGGTTTTGCTATGTTCTCTTCTATGAAAGGCATTACAAGGGGCACAATATCATCTCCAACAGTCCGTGCAACCAAACCCAAGCACGTACCACCAGCCATTGCTAAATTCCAAGCCCCCTCATCTTGATCCTGATCCTCTTCTTGCTTGAGGAGAGTCTCCAACAGCATAGGAACCAATGCAGGGAGTGCCTGCTTTATAAAGTAATGGCATGGAATCTCGGAATCGGCGGTAAATTCACCCCCATAATCATCTAAAATATCAATCTCCTCATCACAAATCGAGCTCCAAAACTCTATAGCCTGAAGGGCAACTGGCTCCTCATCTTCCCTCACAGCTTTAGCCGTGATATTGAATATATCTGGCATGTAAGAAGCAAGCTTCTCATAGTACATGGATGAGACAGAGACCAAACATTCATATGCTGCCTGTCTTATCTTCAAGTCTGGTGAAAGAGTTGCTTCACAAACAACTCGCATAATATAGTCTCTTTCCATGTCATTTGAAAAGTTCGCTTGTACAAAGCCCAGAGCATTATAAAGAGCTCGTGTAGCAGCCAACCTCACGTCCACATTCCCTTCAGATGCACTCATGCCCTGAACGACCGCTGTCAGTATCTTATTCACTTGGTCTTGGTCAAGAGCTTGCGGAGGAACTTCTTCACATAAGTAACCTAGTGTTTCTAGAGAAGCTTGCTTCACATGAGGCTGCTGCTGGTGGATGCTTGACAAGAGAGAGCCAACAAGTTCAGGCCACTGCTTGTGAGGCACCTCAATGCCTGCAATCTTAGCAATTACTTGCGATGCAGTAGACCTGGCATCATGAACAGGTGATGTGAGGGTTTGGAGCAAACAGGCTTTGACCTGAGCTTTCACAGATGCATCCAAGGAAATCCATCTTTGCATGAGCTCATTTTTCCTGTGTTGCTCTTTTGCATCTAAACTGTTCTTGAGGACTAATCCAGCTAGCCTCCTGCTATCCACAGGCTTGTCGTTGTTTGCTAACTCACCAGAAAGGGAGAGCAAAAAGCCAGGGAGGTTCTGATCTTGGAACTGTTTTAAGCTTTCTTCTGCATGCTTTCGAACTGCCCCATCAACTGATTGGGCATTTAAGAGAATTTGGGTCACTTCCATTGCCATCTTCTGTCACTGCAGAAAATAGAAAGAAGTTCAGATCAACATAAAGCCATATAAATAGTGTGCCCCGCCACTAAAGTTTGCAAAATATCACATAAACCAGTCACAGACATTCTTAAAAAACTTGAAAACTTAAAGCATATTAACAACATTCTGATAAGAACCAAGCTTCCAGTACTTTGTTCTTCGTTTTAGTTCCAAAGGTAGGAACTTCATCTAATTTACAACCCACAGTTTTCTGTTTGATAAAAGAACTAATATTTAGGTCACCTATAACATATTAATTACTTCTTCCAATAAAAATACTAAACCAAGATGGAGAACTAGCCAGACAAACTTTGTTGCATCCCAGAGTTTGCAGTTATCAACAAAACTAAAAACTCATATTCTATTACCTATACATATAGTTATGTAAACTTAAACATCTAAAATCATATTAAACACATACTCCTCTATGAATATATAGAATCAAACCTATTCTTACTATCAGTTCAAAGAAACAATACTATACACAAAAAACACTACCAAGATATAAGTATAAATTAAATTAAGTCAAGAGACATGCAAGCATCGCAATCAAATCAGGCAAAAACTAATGAGATCAAGAGTCAGAGGCAACCACATTAAACCAAATCTACTGAGATTGATTTTAATCCAAGTTCATGAATTAATTTTGCAAGTTCGCTAAGTGGACCTAATCCAGCTTAACCAAGTCAGTCTTCGGTAAATAATCAGACCAGAACCCCTCCAAGGGGGTGGCAGTCAGAAATAAACCAGATTGCATCTGGTTCCCAAAAAAAATGCAAGGAAAAAAAAGAAAGACATATAAATTGAATCTCACTCAAACTTGAATCAACTAAAAAATAGCCAAATATTAGTTCGAAATCAATTTTAACTGAAAATAGCCAAACTACGTTTAACTTAAAACTAGTGCAAACAAAACCAGTAATTGTCGAGGCCAAGTACAACTAGACTAGCACTAATCTGCTTTAGTTAACAAATTGCCAAACTGACCCCATACTCATCAGTAATTCAGTTTCTACACAGAAAAATAGATCTTAATTAAAAAAAAACAACAACATCATCATCACCTTAGATCCGTGGAAGGAATAAAAGTTATATCCTTTTCAATTCAGGGATTTCTACTTTCCATCAGAATCAGAAAAGGGTCTAAAAAAACGATCTTTAGAAAGGCATACACTCTCCTTGAAGTATTACGAACTACTACTACAATCACAGATCACAGATCCGACGGCGGTGATTAACAGTTCTAAATTAAACCCAACAATAATTGATTTCACCCAAAAAAAAAACTAAAACCCTGGAATCCAATTTCAAACAAATTTAAACTAAAACATTATGGATTTATATGGGACTTACAGAGATTCAGTAACGAAATCGATTGCGGCGAGATCAATTTCAATCGAAACGAAGATCTCGCGAACAGCGGCAGTAGCGGTTAGACAGAGAACAGAAAACCCTAGGAGAGAGAAAAGAGAGACGCCCAATTGTATTGTAGAGCTGTAACCATAATATAATAATATAATTTAACATAGATGTCTGAACTCTTTCGAATTGATATTTTCACGCGCTTTCTTGATATCATACAGGTAGACCGAAGATGATCCTGACCGTTCCGGGGAAAGAATCTTCGCGGATCTGACGGTGGTGTGTGAGAATATCAATCGGATTCTTTTTGGAATGATGTTTGTCACTATTAAACTTTAATACTAGCGGGTGTCTGATTTCGGGTTAGTTTGTAACGGGGCCTCTACATCTATTGGCGACAAACTAATAGAGAGGCTGTATATAAAAAAAAAAAGAGTGGCACTACAGGCACACTCTTCATCATACTCTTCACCACACCCCCTCTTCTGCTACAGTGCAGGGGGGCCCATCTGAGATTTTTTAAAAAATCTCAGGTGGGCCCTCTTGTACTGTAGCAGGAGAGGGGTGTGGTGGAGAGTGTGCCTGTAGTGTTACTTAAAAAGAAATGCTAGGGGCACACCACAAACCACACCACCAACCACACTCTCCTCTCTCATTTGCTACAGTACACGGGGCCCCACATGGGATTTTAAAAATTTTAAATCTCATATGGGGCCCCGTGTACTGTAGCAAATAAGAGAGGAGAATGTGGTTGGTGGTGTGGTTTGTGGTGTGCCCCTATCACCACTCTATATAAAATCATCATATACAGCGATAAAAGAATAATATCACATATATTTCAATATCAATTTCATTATTAAGATCTAAACATGAAATCCGTGCAATCAATTAAAATACGTTTAAATCAACTATTGAACCGGTACAATCAACTTCAAAGTCGATAATTAAAACACGTTGCTTTTGCTTCCCCTTGCATGATTTTGATCATTCAACATGATTTTGATCACTCAACAAGACAAGAGAATATGATATGCATCTCATTATCAATTTTAATTGATATAATAAAAAATAAGTGACATGCTCGTGCCGCATTAGTTGGTTTGTTTTTCCTTTTTTTAAAAGTAAAGTTAGATATTGGAAAAAAACTGAAGAGGGTGTGTGTGTTTTTTTCGG